AAACAACGGAAAATCTGGTACAGGTGGGAATAGAAAAGGGACTGACACGACCCAAGAAGTTAAAACGCCCAGTGGAAAACCCTTTCCGACAAGGCAACCAGATTTTGGCCAAGAAGGTCAAACGACCGGTTCTTCAATTTCTACCCCTCCTTCTGGGACACCTCCTGTGCAAATGCAGAAAGAAATAAAAAAAATAGAAGAGAATATTACAAATAAGCTTGTGAAAACGTTTTCGAGAGAACTGGAAAAGCAATGCATGTCTTTTAGCCTTTTGTTAATTCAAAAAATTTTATTAATACAAGTTTAGATATTTATTTAAATGTGTTTTATAATATTTGGGAATACAGTCCAAAAAATAGAAGACGAACGCATAGCTCATCAAGCTGCCGAAACACAGCGTCAGGAGACTATTCTTAAAATGGTATCTCAATCACTTAGTACAAACACCACCAAGCTGTTAGAATCTACGATCCGCAGTGAAATTCAGAATTCTGTTCTACCCGCGTTAAGCAAAATGGTGACTAACGCCGTTGATAAGCATGCTCACAGAGGGATTTCCGATGCAGTAAATAAGGTTTGGACTTGTGAATTTATAGCAACTTCTAATACAATGTGTGACTAATACTCCATTCTGCTTTTGTAATAGAGTATACCGGCAGCGATTGAGAAGTATATTGCGGAAAATATTCAACGTGTTCTCTCAAAAACGTCAGTAACTGAATCCATCGCGAAAGGAGTGTCCAAATCTATTAGACCAATTATAGAAGAAACTTTCAGAGAGAATTTTACGACCGTACTTATTCCTTCATATCAAAAGGCTACTAATGCGATGTTTGAGCAAATTACTGCTACTTTCGAGGCTGGGATTCAAGACATTGCGGTCAAGAGTGCACAAGCTTCCTCATACACTACTAATATAGCAAACGTTGATAAAACCGCTTTAGCACGTTTGCAGGCATCGGTTGAACTTCTTACACAACAATTACATCACCTGCAAGCCAACATAACAAGGCAAGGAGGACAGCAACTTGAACAGCCAATAAGTCGAACCTCCGATGAATATCCTTTTGAGAAATTTTTATTTAACGAGCATTTTTCTTTCTTAAAAAACACCTTCAATATAATCCTTAACGGTTTATAAACATATCAGAATCAATTAGCTCGATCCCTTTCCGGTGAATTGAAACGCATCTTAATTCCACAAAATTCGGCAGCAAATCAGCAATCTTCTGTATCTCAACCAGAACCATACGGTTATTTACAATCTGGAAGGGTGCCGTCTTCACAACAGCAATCACAGCAGCAACAGCATCCACAACAATTGTTTTCTCCTGTTGAACCTGAAAATTCTGATAGATCTCTAGAGAGCGGGAATTATGAAGATGCATTCGTGTCTGTTAGTATTATCTGAAATTTCTTCGTAATCTCCTCTATTACAAGTAAATCACATTTATCATGTGATATTGCAACTGAAAGTTATTTTCATATTTTTAGGTGCTTGCCTCGCATGATTTAGCACAAATCTTGCGCCTTTGCCACAAAATTAACCCGAAAATTGTCTTTCTTCCCTCGAGGTCTTTGCTTTCCCAACCTGTCATTCTTTCGATTATTCATCACTTGTCTTTGGAATTGGATAAATATTCCGATTTAAAGCTTGCATGGATCGAAGAAGCAATATTAAAGCTTAATCCTAAGGTATGTTGTATATTTTATTTTAGGTAAAATGAAAATAAACTTATTGTATATTTTTATAGGATCATATAATTAGAGAGCATTGTGAAAGGCTCTTACCAATGGTGAAGCAACGTCTTGAACACTATTATTATACGGTTGCTGCGCAGGATCCCGCAAGCCCAAGTCTAAAAAATATTACGCTTTTGATTCACGTGATTAATGGTTTACTTATATAAAGATGAAATTCGGAGCTTAGTCATTTTATATAGAATCCATTCTTGGTATTTTGATTTTATAGGCTTCACAAACATCTTCAAGAAAAGCTGTTGTGTATTGTATATTAAGCTAATTACCAAGGACATTTATTGTTTTCAAATGAAGATCAATTTAACGGATTTAATGGAGATATGTATATAATTGAAAAATTTAAGACGTTTTCGAAGATTTGATATTCTGAAAAAATTTTTACAGTAAATTTCATAGTATCAAAGGTTGAAAAAAAAAAGCTTGATGTAAGATGATTTACAATTATTTTTTTTTTAAAAAAAATAAAATAATACAATAAAAAATATTATAATTATTACAAAAATTTTTATAAACTATTTTTTAATTTAGTTTTTTAAATTTTAATAAAAAATAAATATTATTATTAAGATTATTAATATTTTATAAGCAATACAATAATACAAACCTTTTCTAATTGTATTTACTTTGCTAAAAAGTTTTCTTTTATGGTAATATTAAGCAAGGAAAAATTTTTTACACTTTTTGTTATAAGTTTCAACTCAAGAACTCAAGAACCTTCAAGACAACTGGTACAGTAGAATAGAATCTCTAATCAAAGTCTATTCAAGCTTGAGAGTTTTGCTTATTTTTTGGTTGCATAAAAAAATGTCTATAGCAGTTTTTTGTTTTTTTGTATTTCTCTTTTATTTTTACTATATAATAGAAATCATTTATATTAATATTATTATATTTACTAAATCAAACATTTTCAAAAAACATATTTAAACAAAATTGTTAAATCTATTGTTTATTTTAATACAACTTTTATATATAATTTTATTATAACAATATTTGTTATATTATTTTAAAATTTTTTAAATTTTTTGTTCAAAAAATTAAAATCAGTTTATTTCTTTTAGACAATTGTTATTTTTTAATTATTTAATCAGATTTTGTTAAAACAATAAAGAAAAAATTAAATATGTTTAAATTGGTTTTTTAATATAATAACAATAATAATAACTAGAAATCATAAAAAATTAATTTAAAACCATATGCACAATCTGACAAATAATTAATATCATGTATATGATTTTAAATTAATTTTTTATAATCTCTAAAGTTATATTAACAAGTAGCAAGAAATTGAAAGAATAGATAGATAAGTTGAATTAAGACTTCTTTAGAAATATTATTTTTATTTATATAGATTTTATAATTTAATTATTTCAATTTCAATTTTAATAATTTATATTATTCTTATTTATTATTTATTTATTATTTTTATTTTTTATGGTTTTTTTACTTTAGTTTTTTATGTTTAATTAAATTCTCTAAATACTGTAAATAAATATAATTACTATTTTATTATATTTAACATACTGTATATAATAAAAAAAAAATTTTTTTTTAATTACATTCATATTGTTAAAATTTTTCCTTTTATAATAATTTTAAGTAAGAAAAAATATTTTATACTCTTTATCACAAGTAAGCTCTAGCTCAGAAACTCAATAATCTTCAAGACAACTGGTGCAATGGGATGGGATCTTTGATCAAAATCTATTCAAGTTTGGAAGTCTTGCTTATTTTTTGATTATATGAGAAAAGGTTTATGGCAGTTCTTTATTCTTTTGTTCTCTTGCATTCCTCCTTATCCTTATTCTATTATAAAAACTATTCATATCATTATCATCATATTTACTAAAACAAATACTTTTCAAAATACATACTCAAACAAAGTTTATAATATAAGTCTACTGTTTGTTTTAAGTTAACTTATAAATTTTACTTCACTATGATAATATTTATTATACCATTTCAAATTTCTTAATATTTTTTCCTGGCCAAAAAACTGAAATCAGCTTACCTCCTACAGATAATCAGCACTTCTTAATCATCCAATCAGATTTTGCTTAAAAATTAAATCAAAAATTAAAATTGTTCAAACTGGTTTTGTATCACAACAATTACAACAATAATATCAATCACATGTTCACTAACAACTATAATAATAAACAATTTCACATATGTTTTATTATTTATGGTAATCAAAAAGCCAAAGAGATGGAACCACAAGCATATCCAGGGGCTTTCTTAGAAAAATAATTTATTTTCTACCTATAGATTTTATAGTTTATTTGATGCAGTTTTAATTACAGTTATGTTTATTTTCTTTTTAACTATTATATATTCAAAAAATTAAAAGATTTCATAAAATTTTTTAAGTTAATAAGCATAGTTGCTACTCAACTTTATTTAATACTATAATATTGCTTTTGAAATATTTTACAATATTAATTAGGTAATAACTAAGTAGACAAGCTAACATTAAACTTTTCTGAAATAATAAAAGAAATATTGTTTCTTTTAAAATATATACTATATTATATATAATATTAAATAAAGAAATAATGTTTACCTATAGGAGAAACCCTTCCAAAAAAAAAATTTTTTTTTTTAAATATAAATCTCGCTTAGTAAGAGTATTCTTTATTAATATATTATGACATATACAGTATGTCTCATAATTTTTTGTAAATTTTATTTATTAATTACTCGATAACCGCTGAACCAAAAACAATAAACAATAACTTGTTTGAAAGGTAAGAACCCAAAGTTTATTTTATTAAAATTTCAATAGTTAATATGGTCGC